TATATATATATCTGCTTTATAAATAGACTTACACTGCTATTTGTAATAGTCTTTTGTCATTAAAGGTGAAAATTAAGTCTCTAAAACAGATAATCAGTTTTGGGCTGCTTAGGTGGATGCATAAAGTGATTTTTTTTATTCTAATTACTTAGCAAATCTATCTGTAAATATAGTTGTAATGATAAATTTTACACTGGCATCAATGGGTGAAAGAGATACCCAGAAATTGCTAAAGTTTTGCTGAAATTTAAAAAAAAAAAACCTCTAAGTAAAAAATGTTAAATTATATATTTAGCTTTCACAGTTCTCACTTTTTTGAGAAGACAGCTCTCTGTTCAACATGTTACTTGGTCCTCAGTACTTTAATTAGCTTATGAACATCCTCAAGTAAGAAGACCTCTAATTCTTAGCACCTTCACAGAAGATGTTTAGGGTGTAATTTACCCTGATGCTTCATATTTTGCTCCTTTGAAAATTGATTTTGCAAATGTACTTTTCAGATACTAAAGGTTAGGAATGTTATAGAGTAATAGGGCTGGTATCTTAAGGAAAAAGAGTCTATGAAATTTTACAGATGCCTGCATGCAAGTTATTTCATTTCAGCCTTAAAGAAGTCAACAGAGAGCAATTATGTACAGTACACCTCTGCTATTGACACCGTGACACCCTGAAAGCAGATCTTAAGGGGTTCATTTACCAGTATTTTGTACAGAGTACTATCCTACTTTTATTAATATGGCAATAAAGAATGCAGAAGTTTGCCTCACAGCCAGCAATCTTACAGCTAGATCCTCAGAACACCCAGGTGGCCAAGAAGGCCAACAGCATCCTGGCCTGTATCAGCAGGACTAGGGAGTTGATTGTCTCCCTGTACTCGGCACCAGTGAGGCTGCACCTTGAGTGCTGTGTTCAGTTTTGGGCCCCTCAGTACAGGAAATACATGGAGGTGCTGGATCGTGTCCAGAGAAGGGCAATGAAGCTGGTGAAGGGCCTGGAGAACAAGTCTTATGAGGAGCATCTGAGGGAACTGGGGTTGTTTAGCCTGGAGAAAAGGAGGATGTAGCAAGATAGGTGTCAGTCTCTTCCCCCAAGTAACAAGTGATAGGACAAAAGAAAATGGCTTCAAATTGCGCCAAGGGGTTCAGATTGGATACTGGGAAAAATTTCTTCACCGAAAGGGTGTCAAGCATTGGAACAGGCTGCCCAGGGAACTAGTTGAGTCACCATCCCTGGAGGTACTTAAAGGACACGTAGATGGGATACTTAGGGACATGGTTTAGTGGTAGACTTGGTGGTGTCAGGTGAATGGTTGGATTTAATGACCATAAGGGTCTTTTCCAACCTAATTCTATGATTCTTGAGCCTGGGCCTAGAGTTCAACCTGACCTCACAGCACATCACTCCAGGGAATTATTTGTTTATTGTAATGGTAGTGGTCTGAGAATTTAACTCCCTGGGCAGTTTACAAAGGGGCCATATAAAAACCACTACAAGGGCAGCAAATGAATGCATGGTGTGGAATAATTACTGGAGGTAATTTAAAAATCAGAAAACGGCCTTGTTCATACACTAGGGAAAGGTATAGCAGCAAAGAAGATCCCCAGGGGGAAAACTGAGCCAGCAATGTGCACTTGCAGCCCAGAAGGCCAACTATATCCTGGGTTGCATCAAGAGAAGTGTAGCCAGCAGGTCAAGGGAGGTGATTCTGTCCCTCTACTCTGCTCTCGTAAGGTCCCACCTGGAGTACTGCGTCCAGTTCTGGAGCCCCCAACACAAGAAAGACATGGGCCAGTTAGAACAAGTCCAGAGAAGGGCCACCAGGATGATCCGAGGGCTGGAGCACCTCTCCTATGAGGACAGGCTGAGAGAGTTGGGGCTGTTCAGCCTGGAGAAGAGAAGGCTCCGGGGAGATCTTATAGCGGCCTTCCAGTACCTGAAGGGGGCCTACAAGAAAGCTGGGGAAGGACATTTCATAAGGCAGTTAATGACAAAACAAGGGGAAATGGGTTTAAGCTGAAACAGGGTGGGTTTAGATTAGATATGAAGAAGAAATTCTTCAGAGTGAGGGTGGTCAGACACTGGAATAGGTTGCCCAGAGAAGCTGTGGATGCCCCCTCCCTGGAGGTGTTTAAGGCCAGGCTGGATGAGGCTTTGAGCAACCTGATCTAGTGGAAGGTGTCCCTGCTGATGGCAGGGGGGTTGGAACTAGATGATCTTTAAGGTCCCTTCCAACCCAAACCATTCTATGATTCTATGAAATACAGCTGGTAAGCATATTTCTTTCAGTGGCAGTTAACTGTAATGAGTTAGTTATGCCAACGACCACACCCAAGAGCATAGTGAGCCACAACACACTGCTGAACGTACTCTATATCCACGGACCTGAATGACTCGTATGGAAAAGGCATTTGGGACACAGATAGCTTTGTACCTACACAACAGTGAAGACAGGTGTTTAGAATAATGGTTTAGTACCAGTCCAGCTACCTCCTCTAAAACCAGATGACAGTCCTAGATCTTCTGAAATATTAATTTGCAACAGACAACATCAGGCAGAAGTTTGCTCTGATAATTGCTGCCCAAAATGCAATGAAGTAATCTCCCTTAGAAGCAGCAGGAGGGACACAAACAATGAACTGTGAGTAGTCATTTCGCACTTTTGCAAATCTGTTTTGACTACACCTCTACACTTGAAATAAAAATCCTATCATTTCAAGTTTTTAACTACTCTGTACTTTCGTCCCCTCAACATACTCCTCATAACTCCACCATTATATCAAGATGCTGCTTCTATCAGTATAGAAACTTCTAAGATCCCTACCTTCTAAGGGTAAATGAAACTGGAGGAGAAGGCCCCAAATCCCTTCTTTCCTGTAGCAAGTTAAGTAACTTACAAAATGATCAAAGCATAGCAGACAAATCTTTAGTATTTTCAACAAATCCCTTCAGTCAGTATTTTGTATTAAGAAACTATATGATATTCCAGGTAAATATCTAAACACGTATCTCACCTTAAACATGGGTCTCACATGCTCCAGGTGTGTTGCACTAGTAAAAGGTGCCTGAACGTGGCTCACTGCCTCCATAAGGGCTTTAGCTGTTTTAGCCATTTGTTCCATTTCCAAATTATATAGGAGTCTTCTCTGCTTTTCACTAGCAACACCTGTAAACACATTTTTTCCTCTCATTTGTGCACCTTTAGCAGTGGTGTCTTCAGGAATACAGTAATTTTAAATTTCCCATTAAGTATCATACTCAGATGCATTTTTTGTATTACCTTTACTTTCCAAAATTACCACACTAGCAAGATATTTCTGTTACAATATAGATTAAATTTAACTTAAGGCATACTTATGTATGAAATGTAACCTAATTTTAAACCTTCACAGAATTTAAAGATTTGCACAACAAACATCACAAGATAAATATCATATCCACTAAGCTAAATTCAAAGTGAACAAAAGTTTCATAGCAATCCATCAGCAGAAAAAATAACAATAAAAATAAGTGGACATCCTTTTCCTAAGGGAGAACTACCTTAACCACCTTTTCATTTCAGTAATGGAATCTCCCATCTCATCAAGAAAGTGAAACCCAAGGAGAATGTAATAATGAGCTTCTTTAAAATTACAATTTAAATATTATGTTAATTGAACAAATATTGAAAACAAGAGGGATTCTTTTTTCCAGATGCAAATTTTCTCTAAGCAATCTATTCATAAAGCTAACCTAGGACCTTAAACTATACCAATTTCACTATGTTGGGAAAAAGTAAAGTTTCCAAGTAATATAAAATGGAAAACCAAGTAATACAAAATTTTTGCAGATGACAGACTAGTTATTGCAGGAAAACACACCAGTTTGTTACCTTAGAAATAGAAGGCACAAGTATTGGTTTGTTTTTCTTTTTTTCTGCACTACGCCTATCAGCAACACTGTTACTTCATAAAGCCCTCAAAGGCATTTCCCTATGTTGCTGTTCAACAGCAAGACCCGTCTTCTCCATGGTCAATGCACTGAATACCAGGAGTTCACATGCAAAGGCGAGTGAAAATAAGCAGCTGTATTTAACACAGATTTGAAAGGAGCACCATGCATTTATGTTGAAAGGAAAAGGATATGAAATTAGAAGTTAGGACTCATTTTATGTTAAGTAAGTAGTGCTTGCTTCATTCATCTCTCATTTTAGAAAGGAGACAGCTACATGAAACTGAAGAGTGAACACTCTGAAGAAAGCTAACATTGCAACTACTTACTTTGTTTACTGGATTTTGTGGGTATTGTTAACTCTTTTGTTTCCTTCATTGAAATCTTCTTTCCAGCTATTTCATTATAGATAGCAGACAAATATTCTTCAGGGAGATCTTTACTGTCATTGATACCTCTATTCATTTTAATATACTGTTCTTTTGTCATTTTATTCTTGACCTGAAAACCAGAAAGAAGCAAATTAATATCAACAAATGAGGCAAGTTTGTAGCAGTTACAATGCTGCCTATAAAGCAGCCAAACAGATGAAAAGTTACAATCAAAGACAAACCTGCTGATTCAGAAGACATATGCAAGACTACACTGCCAAATCTATAAGAATCACACAATACCGTGTGGACATTACAATGCTCATAAATATTCAGTAGGATCTGTAGATTAATTAGATACACATTATTTTAAAAAGTGTTCTATCTTGTAAAACAGACTAAACTATCTATTTTAAACATAATCCCATGATCTCATAAGAGTTCAATACTTTTTACAGATTCTGTTTAAATAAATGATGTTGGCTAATCACTGCAACTGTGAATATTATGCACTGCAGATGTGAAATGTATTTATCAAAACAAAGCTGCATTATTTTTTTCAAACAGACTAAAATCAGGAGCAGATTTGTGTTAAAATCAACGGGTAAGTAATTACACAAGTTCTGTCTTTGACTGTAGGTTAGATCACTACTTTGAGTGCCATAATATGAAAGCAAATATGCACAATTCCTATTAAACACAGAGAAGGGAAATGATAATTTACAGAAAGGTGTAACCAGAACAACTTAAAAATCTCAACACCCATGAAACACAATGCTGTTATTTAAAAGATGCACAAACTTAAGCTACCATATTTCTTACACACATACTGCTGTTAAGCTGAACATTAAACTTTTACGTCACCACAAAGCCTGGAAGTTAGATGTTTATGGATTATACAAATATTTTTCTAGCAACATACCTGTGGACTGTGAAGATCTGTTGTCAACATGATAATCGAGTAAGCTAAAACATATGCAGTATCTGCACTAGCAAAAAGAGTTTGCCTGAAGGGGGAAAGGAGAAAAAGAACAGCAAATTTAACATATTAGGACTTTTTACCTATTGTGCAGCTTTCCAAAGTTCTGAAGACAAAGCATGGCTTACCCTTGGTTACATTCTAAATATCTAGCAGCAAATTTCTCCATGAGGCGATCAATTTTTTGAGCCTCTCCTGGAAGACGAAATCCCTCTAGAAACATGCGCAGAGCAGAAACAAAATCCTTTCCAGAAAAGTCATGTTGGTCTACATATGCATACATGACTTCTTTGTTAAATTTATCATTGTCTCCCAGGAACTCCCCAACCTGAGTCTAAAATAAGAACAGAAAAGACAAACTAGCACATTTACAATGGAAAAAACCCAGTAGATAAGAACAGAGTCAGAGCGCCCATATGTTTCACCGAAAGAGACTGTACGCAGTTAACAAAGACATATTCCTGCTCTTCCTCTACTCTCTAAAGCAAAGTATTTTGGCCATATATTCCATCCCAATGCTCCTACATGCTCATCTGCCTATCCTCCTTCTCTGGTTTTACTCGTGTACCTTTTTTTTTTTCCCCTATTAGATGAATTCCACGTGCCCAAGACAAAGTTAATATTACCAATGATTGCTTGTTCTCCACTGCAATTATTTTTTGTAGTTAGGAAACTTACTACAGGAATGAAAAGGTGACTACACTCAACTTTATTCCCACTAGAGTACAGATCTCAGATACAAGTGATGCTCAAATATAAATAGCTACTAAGCAAAATGGTGCAGACTGCTGTTTCAGAATGTTAAGTTTTCCATGACAATACCAACATGAGATATTCCCACCCTCCTCAGCCAGATATTGCAGGACTCGTCCAAGTCCAGCCACAGCTGCTAGTTGTAAATAAAATTAAAGAACTAATCTAGATTAAATAACTTTCCTTTGGGAGGCAGCAAAAAATGCTTTTCATGTTGTTGCACCATGTTATTTTTTAGCTGTCTCTGAAGGACAGTAACTTCTAGCAGTCCCTTATTGGACTAAAGTATATACAGTTTAGTAAGTTGCTTACAGCTATACTAGCAACTAAAGAAAAGTTTTGAGTCAGTTTAAGTAGGTCAGTCTTTTCCTTACACTTGGCTAAACTGCGGGATGCATATAGTACACTGTATAGCTCTAATGCACACTCCAAACTCCTTGAGCTTACAAATTTTAGAAGAGAGAAGCTTCCTTCTCTTCATTGAACACTGAACTGTTATACACTTTAAAATACTAATATGCAATTTCCAATTAGTATAAAAACATCAGCATGAGCAAAAAGAACCACATGGAAAGTTTTCTTACTGAATCTAATCTTTCCTCTTGATGCAGGAACTGAGCAATATCTTCAGGGGTAGTGCCAAGCATTCCTTGTTCTTGCAGGTACTGAATCCCCCTCTTTGGCTTCTTATTGAATCTGTACAATCAAGATCAAGATGGAATTAGAGTTAACCCTCTTACTATGCACAAAACATTACCAGCTTAAGTAAAAAGATTCAATAATTTTGGATGAGGTATTGAAAAATCTATGTATTAAGTATTTTCCTTTATCAAACTGTGCATTAGATTCTGTAATTATTCCCTTCATCATTGAATGACTTTGTGTGTCGTGTCCCCCCCCACCCCGTAAACAGGCACCTCTTCCTCTTTGCTACATACTGCCAGCATGGCATCCAAGCAGCTCCCAGTAAAGAGAACTAAACACTACAATTTACTCTGTCACTCATGAAGAAAAAAAATATTGCACAGAAATAGTAAAGTCTTGGCTTGGAAAGAAACAAGCATGCTGTGTTGCTTTTGTTTTAATCTGTATGAAGCAATCAAGAAATCCACCAGTTGCCTCTAAGAATGGAAACGTACAAGACAAAGAACCAGGTAAGGGAAAGAAACTGAAACCCTAACGGACTAAGGCATGTTTGTTCAGAGTCTGAGAACTATTATTACAGAAAACTTATATTTTTGCATAAAGTGACCTCAATGAAAAGGTAAGGTGACAAGGCTGAAATCACAGAAGAGTCACGGCAGACTACACTGAGAAATTATACTATCCTCCAGTTTTAATTTATGACAAGTTAATTAATCAGATGGAAGAATCATCTTAAGCATACAGGCACTTTCATCAGTAATGTGTATACTAAAATGGGTCATATTCAACTGATCACGAGTTCAATGTTCTTTTTATCCAAATATAAAAATCTTATTTTTAGACAAGCAGGTCTGGAGAAAAAAGAACAAACATTCAGAGTACTCATCTTCTAGCTGTGAGGAATTAGGTTAACACAAAACACTGTTGACAGGCTCCAAAGGGGACACCATTCAGCACTCTTTCACCAGAGGAAGTGCTGTTACATCCAGAGTTTTTTTCCTAACACAAGATGAGTATCTATGAGGAGAAGGAAGAAAAACCCAGGAATCTTCATAGCTCCGAAAGACTCCACCCTCCCATGGGTGATAAAAGGGCACTCACAAGTCAATTCCTTGTTCTATTATTTCCTTTTGTTGCTTTAGGACCTCAAACTGCTCTGGGTTGTCAGTGCCAGACATCTGTGTGCTGTAACTGCCAATTCCTGATGAAGCAGTAGAATCCAAGGAATTTAAACTTCCATATCTGTTAATTGTCTCAGGATGCTTGGTTTCATTGCTCTCCTGTTCTGTGGGTTTTTCTTGGCCTATAAATTGGAAAGGGTTACAACGTACATACAAAATACATACAGTGAAAAGAAATTAAAATCACAGGTCATTCTTCAAATCCTCTCTGAAGGCTTCTAAAATTTACTAGGGTTATCTTCATTGATCTATTTATATTTATATAAATATTCTGCTTTTATTTTGGTTGGGAAAAGAACAACAAAAAATCACTACAACGTATCAAGGGAGATTCTTTCAGTTCATCGCATACCAAAAATTTAAGCCCTAAATTACAACTATAATTTGTAGGCACTTGGAAAAAAAAAAAAAAGCATGACACCTTAGAAACCCAGTTACAGATCCTTCCTTTTATTTTCAGGTCTGATGTTACTTCTGACCTGAAGCGAATAACACTAATTTTTTGAAGCAAGTGTTTCTGATCAGACTTGCCAAGGAGCTGGTCCTCAGTTCACAAAGACAGCTGTGCTAACCACCTCTAAAAAGGTTATTACTTCACCTACCAACTTCAATCACTTAATCTGAAAATTCTGGCATAACCTTAGTACTATTCATCTCAGGTCAGATGGAAACAAGATTAGAACATGTAATGACTTAGTTACTTCACCACTTACAATGCTGAAAGTTCTATAGCTATATATTAATAACGGGGAAAAAAAATGCTCTCCATCCAGCTTGCTTCAGTAGTAATTTAGTCAACATGAAGTTAGATGAAACTAGGGGAGCTTCAAAGTAAGTTTTACGATCATTTTGAAATCAAAAATACAGAAAATAACAGGATTTAGTAATTTTCAGTGTAGTAGCTCTGTAGGAATTCATACAATTAAGAAAAGACAACTTAGACAACTTGTTCAAATGAGACCAGTCCAAACTTACCAATATTTCTACCAAATTAAAAAAAAAAAAGTTTATTCTCCCTCTTTTTTTAATGCAAGAGGTTTTACCAATATGGACATTAACAGTATCAAAATACTGGGAAAATGTACTAAACTTCTGCAGCACCTCTTTACTAAAGCCCGAGGAAACACATCTCTTGTCTTACCAAGTGTTGTCTGAGAATTTGGATTTACATATTGATCCTTACTCCACTCCACCATGCACTTCAAGATTGAAACTAAGCATTCCAATCCTTTTTTTCTCAAACTTAATTCCTAGAAAAGATTTCAAAAGCAATACATTAGTGGCATGGAGAGTTTAGTCTTAACCTATCATGCCAAGAAAGATAAAGCTTCATAAAGTTGGTGGAATTTTTACCTGAACATTGGACATGCCAAGTTCTTGGCTACCCCTTCCTTGAGCAATCTTTGATAGGTCATTAACAAGCCTTTCAAATATATTTGCTGCGTTTAAATCACAATCATAGTTCACGTAGATGTCCACTACGCTCTGGGCATCTATAAACGAAGTGACATTGTCAAACTGGGAACAAAAACTAGATCATTCAAATGTAAGGCAAATACAGTTTTGCTCTTTAGCATAAAAATGTAAAAAGTAGAACCAAATGGTCCTTAATACCTGCACATATCCTTGTCAGTGTTTGTATAACCATCCATTTATGATCAAATGAGCTAGTAGAAGTTTCCAAGATATACAGGAAAATTTCTTTGAAGAAAACCTAAAAAATATTCCAGAAGAGGGATAAAAAAAATAAAATCTATTACCAACACAATCACTAACTCTGATGGCCAATATTCTGACATAATTCTGAAAATATCATTTTAGAGGTATAGGAGATAAGGGGGAGGCACGGAAAGAGGGAAAGGAGGGAATACAACGTATGCTTGAAAGATTAAAATTAGGAATTCTAATTTTTACTTACGAACTTCTGGAGATTTTTCCAGATGAGAAATTTTGGTTTATATTTTGATCACTGAAAACCAGAAGAACCAGGAATATGAAGTCCTGAAGGACAGTTTAGCCTAACAAGAAGTCTAAACTGCTGTTAAGAGTTCATTTGGGATTTTGAAAGGAGAGGTATTACCTCACCACAACAGATTTTCTCTATGAGATGATGATATTATGGCACAAACATAACAAATGGCCACTTACGTCAATTTAAAGTACCAGACCTTCATTAGAAGGGAAACATCTTGACACAAAAGAATCACTCTATGGTATTAAGATTATTGGAAAAAGGGTACTGGTCAGGCACAGCATAAAAAATGTAGCAGGTCCATTAATAAGTTACTCTTCCCTAAAAGAGGTATTGGTTTTTCCTGAAATTGTTTTAGTATGGATGCTTTTGTTTGCAACAGAGACTATTTTACCCCCTCTCAATTATTTCCTCACTAGATCCATTAGTATTATAGGCTGACTATTTTAGCTGAGCACGCTAAGCAGCCAGGGCAGGCTTTTTCTCACTTCTTCCCTAAGCAGCAGCAACTGCTGTGACAGCATATGAACTCAAAATGTGACATGCTACACAGCATTACATCACTGTTCTGCAATTCTGAGACTTCATCTCGTTATAGCCAGTTGTGGTTACCAAATCTACAATACATGTTTTTTTCTAGAACGCTGCTGATACTTTCAAGCCATCAAGCTTCTCTTCTCCACTGGCAGAACACAAATATCCAAATATGTAACTACCCTCGTTTTCAGTATTAGATATTCCCTTATACCACAGAATTTTTACAGATATTTTTATGCTATTAGCCAGGTAGAGATAAGCACAAAGCTAATTTTGCTTTAAGTCACATGTTTGGGGAAAAGCAGCAACACTGATTTTCAAGCAACTCTGATGGTTCAAGCAAAACACGCCAACAATCTTTCCATTTTACTGTCCTCTTTAGAGGCATGCAGCACAACCCCACTTACTATTCTTAATAAGAAAAGCATCCCTATGAAATATAAGGAGTTCAACACATAACAGATCAAAGACTTTCAAGCACTTAAATGCACTCAAGTGTACTACACTGATTTTAGCCACAACTTTATGTAATGAGGAGAGGAAGACAAAAAATTCTAATAAAGGTTATGCTATGAGCAATCTTATGTAGTTGTTGTTTTCTGATTTTTTACTGAAAGACAGTAATATTATACAACCTCTAGAATTAGAATTTTTTTTTTTTTCTGGTAGAGAATTTTAAAAAAGAAGTCACTGATGGAGCAGAGAAAAAAGTTTCAAATATAATAATTAAACCCAAATCTCAGCTAGAAGAGAAATTAGCTGGAAGGTCTGCATATTACAAAGACACTTTAGGTCTCTACGCTTCTGAGACAGGGGTCCTTGCTTCTGCTGTCAACTTTGGTCAAACATATCTTGAAATTAACAGCTTCTCAAAACTGTACTGATTATTTACATTTCAGGTATTTAAAAATGTTACCTGTCACTATATTATTTATTGCAATTCATGTCATGGAACTGAGACTTTCTTCCTAGTGTATCAGAAAAGTAAACCAGAAAAGAGCTAACTACTTAGTTTGGTCAACTAAAAATAAGAGTTTTAAGATAGCTTATTCAGTTATGAAAGGGAGGTAATGGTTAAGTATAACTAAATGACACCCCAAATCCACTGATATCTAGGACTTGATCTGCTGCAAATATATTCATTGACCCATTTATAAATACAGTTACAATACAATTTAAGGTACGACTCAAAATTATTTTAACCGCTGGAGGACAGTGTTAGCTGAGTACTTAAGTTGAAGGACCAAAGGAGGGTCACTTTCAACAGAATCTGAAACTATTAGTCTAAAATATGCCAAAAATTTCTTACACAGATGAAAAATGCAGCCTCAATCCCAAAATATAACTATTTTACATATTATAAATCAGAGCATATGGCTTTCCTTACAGCTCCAAGACATAAACTGAAAGTGAAGTTATCTACTCATCTACCCACATCTTCTGAATAACATTTAGGATCAGTAGCTAAAAGAAGAGGAATTCTTAGCACATAACCAGGAAAAAGAGTAAGTTTCTAGAAATTGCTGAAATCTTTGTAATAGATGGATACTTTGACAGCACCAAGCTTTTGGCTTTCATGATGTGAGGAGGAAATGCAGCCCTGCTATGTGGTGATGGTCCAAATGTAGCACATTCTAGAAGCTGCTACAATAGCGTAGTGTATCCTATACCCAATTTTCCTCAGATATGACTTCATTTTGTGTTTGGAATCTGGAGAAAGGATGGCAGCAATGGAATCTCATCAAATTTCTGTCAGGGAAGCCAGACTGCAATGCATTTACCACCTACATGCTGACTTGTAAGCTCTACGAACACAGAGCGAGTCCAACACTCTCTGGGAAGCAGCTTGTTTGACTGCAAGAGCAGCTCAGCCCAGTCTGTCTGATGTGCCAAAAAATGCACGTGCACTACAGTCTTGTTGAGCAGACACAGTTTGTCTTCAAAATGCATCGTATTTTCAATGCACATTCAATCAGTCACCAAACCTGTATTTCTATCCAAGCAGTGCTCAAGGAAATACTGAAAATCCTAATGTTTCTTCCCCAAAAAGGCATCAAAATACCCTGGTAAATGATCAGAACACAATACCTTTTTGACATCGTACTGGCAAAATGGGGTTCTTCCTCCAAAGCTGCCACAACACATCAACTTACACAATGACATGCATAGGTGAAGAAATCTCCGAATTCAAAGTCCTTGTAACAGCAACTTTATCAGCATTTCTCAGCATATTTTAACATATTTAACCTCCACACTTATGGGGCATTTGGTAGGCTTCAATATCCACATCAACTCCCAAAACTTAAAATTACCAAAATGAGCAGCAGGAACACAGTGCACACACTACTGCTTTATTCACCACGGAATTAAGATCTTTAACACATGGGACACACATGTGGTTCAAGTGGACAGAATCTTTCCAATAAGCTGCTTGTACTCTATGACACAAGAATTAGAAGCCAAGAATAAAGCCTCTACATATGTCTTGCTTTCCTCTATGACTTAGAATATATCCATCCAGTGAGTAAATCTGCAGTGTCTGTCAGGACTCAAGTAGCTCCTATTGCTAAGAAAATGGAAATGGACTTATCTCTACTTACGACCCAAGGAATTAAAGAGTGTGTACACCTTTTGAGACCTGAGGAAATGAAATTACCTTATTAACGACACATATTGCTGTAGGCCCTAACATACAAGGGGAAGTGGCTACAATAATCAAACAGCTGGGATTTCCCTAGAGAAAGAAATCAGTTCAAGTGACCTCAAAGAGAATCCACAATGCATTTCAAGTAATTAATTTTTATGCTAAAATTCCTTTGTAAAGCCTATTATATAGCCTTTTCATAAGTCTACTATTTTCTTACTTATTATTATGCAGTGTAGAGCTAAAACTTCCTAATCATATTACTGAACACCAGCTGACTGAACTTATTCACCAAACTACTAATTTCTGAGTTTCAGCGTCATTCTGTGATAATATCATGCTACAGCCAAGAGAAAACTCTGCTTTTAAAAGATAGAAACTAACTCATGTAGTAACAGTAGTGAGTATGGGTACAGTAAGTTATGACTGCAAAAATTCACCTCAATCACAAAGAGAAAATTCAAAGCATGTTTTGCACAGTAAATTTTCTTTGTTTATGTCAATATCTATTATTAAGTGATGAAATTGCCTCCTCCTTTATTACATACTTGATTTTATGCTCTTTTTAAAATATGATGGAAATATTTTTTTAAACAGCCCTACAAAAGTTTTCCCATCACTTTCCAACAATCAGCTTAACACTTCCGCAAGTACCACATTACTTCTGACGTTACAGAGCAAATTTTATTTAACCTCTAAGTTTTCCAAAGGAAATGTTATTTTACTCAAAGAGGGTTTCAAGGGCATTGTTGCAAGCAAGTCCATTGCCACTGAGTGAAAAAAAGCTTCTATGCATAAGAAGATCTGTCAAATCTTACACAAAAGCTGAGATTCAGGAAGAAAACAAATTTCTCTAAGCAAGATCAAGCTACATAAAAATATAAACAGATAGTCACTTAAACACCACTCTCCCCCCCCACCCCCCCCCTTGCATTAGAAAGTCATGTAACGTACCTCAATTTGCATTTTTAGATGAGTCTTAAAGTTTGAGAGGAGGGTAAGAAATATGGAAAGTGAAAGTTCAAAAACTTCTGGAACTGATGAAACTCCATTTTTTGACAGTGCAACACAAAGGTACTGCTTAATAGCATTAATAAACATCTCATTTGTCCTGAAGACAGGTCCTGCATTTTGCAGAATGGACAGAAGCAACTGCAATGAAAGAATCTTTGATCGCAGTTCATGAGATCTAGAATAAAACAATGCAGCATATCAGCCCAGTGTAAGTCATAAAAACCAAAACATTGTCTTGAAAGGTCAAAACACCACAACGATTTTGTATGTGAAATGTCAATGAAATAAACTCAAATTTGACACAACCTGGTGTAGGAAGAGTCATAAAAAGATGCTGATTTTTTTTGTCGAAGTGGTCACTCTTCAGCTAACGAGGTGGGTGAGAATAACCTTTCTCTCCATTACTACTGAGCCACTTTCTCTTCTGCAGCACAGCACAGCACCACAAAACAGCAGCAACAGCAGGCAATGCTGCCCATCTTAGCCAGGGGATGAAGGGAGCATTCTTTCCTTCTAATGGATTTCTGGAAGATCCCATCTAAAATATCCAGCCCATCTATACAACCCTGACTACCAAAAGGTGGAAATTCTTCCTCCTCCTCTATTTCCACCAGCACAGAAAAAGAGTTGAAGGACCATGAAGACAACAGCTGTACTGCCTTACTTCCTCCCAACACTGAAATCTCTTTTCTCAAATACAGTATTTTATACTGTTTATCAGTCACTCGCCCCATCGCACTTCAAGAGCAGCTAAGATACATAACATGCCTATTTTAAGTGTGGCAATAGCAGAGTCAGGCAACTGCAGCATTGTCAAATGCTCTACAGTAACATAATGCTTCTTACAGACTGAAGTAAGCTAGAATTCATGTCAGCACAGTGCTACTATTTATGCTTTTTAACACCACACACACACAAAAAATGCCAAGCAAACAAAAAAACCCCAAACCACACATACAGAAAAGTGCAAAGAAAATCCATACCTATGAAAATATAATGCAATTTAAATAGCACTCTGGGTGAAAACATTCACTCCTCAGACTCCTGATGATCGTCCCCACTTCTGATCATCTCAAAAAAAGGCTACAGCTCTTCTGAAGAGCAGGTAGAGACACAAATGGCTTTCTTAACAAGACAGACCATAGCTTTCATTGAACAACTACTCACAGACAGCAGACAGTTATGAAACATAAGGAACAATGACAGGAATTTTTTCATACAGTACAGCCCAGACACAGTAAGGAATGCTTCAAGTCAACAGGTGACACACACAACAGTTAGATATTTTATGTACACTGCAAAAAATATGAACTTAATGAAAAAAAAAGAAAAGTAATTCCAGTCTAGCTAAAAACAAAAATTAAAATTAATAATAAGAAGTTGCAAATAAACTCAATGATTTCTGCACGCTGGCAAACAAAGTGGGATGGGGGGGAATCAAACTGCAAACATTTCAGACTCATAGTACATAATCCCAAGCTTGGGCTTTTTGTCTGAAGACACTTTTGAGAAGTAAAATATAACCAGTCAAATTGAGTGAGGAACTTGTTCCTTCCATTCCTCCTAATGGGCCCGCAGGCCAAAGTAAATGCCACAAAACAGCACACTGCAGGAGTTCTTCAAGAACTGGCTCTGGACACTGCACAGCTGCAGGGAGCCCAACTAACAACCTCCTTTGATGCAAGAGGCTTGATTTTTGCATCATGCTGTATCAAGTGCACAGGCAGCACGTGACTAGACCACACTTTGCTATGAAATATAATAATTTAAATATGAAGAGAATTTAAATCATAAATAAAATATTAAATATTCTCTACTTCCAGCAAGCATCAGTTTGTAACTGAAGTCCTGACTTCCTGGCTTTACCAATCCAGTATGATGTGTAAAGCCCACTTAACTTAAAACAAGTTTAAGGACTAAAATCTAGCAAATGAACCTTCAAGACATTACTCTCCTATCTTATTTTATTCCAGGGAAAAAGGAGATAAAGAATTGAAGCAGGTTCCCAGGAAGCACAACCTTGATTTCAACTCCCAGTCTTGTGACTGTAAGCTAAAGCTCCATGTTCAGTTACCTAAAATTTAAAAATGTTTTCATTAAAGACTTCATAGTTAATTTCACTGGGAAGACGATCTTTAAAGAGGCAGGTAAGAGTTTTTAAAAATGCTGTAGATGCCCTATGCCTCCTCTTCCAATTACAGTATGTTCATAATCGTTCAAAAAGCCATCAATGCCTCAGAACCATCAAGAAAATCTAAGCATTTCTCCAAACACAGGACACCTTTGCATGTCTTTGCTCCTAATTCTTATTGCCCTAATGCTGTTTCCTCCTATTTGTTCTACATGAAGAGCTTAATCAGTTCTAATACAAATGTCAACGACTCCATGGATTCAGATGAGATGTTCCAAGTGCCTCAACAGCTATTGCTGCTCTTCCAGAGAGGGTTAATCCATTAACACCTTTAATAAATGGACAGTATCAGACTCGGAGAACTGACCAGAACCACAGGAATTTCATGGCACTTACAGAATCATAGAATGGCTTGGGTTGGAAGGGACCTTAAAGACCATCATCTTTACAAACCCTTCTGAAAAGCACTACAAAGAGCAACTAGGAAGAATACGATGTACTTACAGGAAGCAAAGGCATTGTTAAGAAACTTCTAAACAGGTAGATGGGTAGCAGCAGTTGCTTTCATTTAAAATACAAAAGATGCATTAAAACATAAAAGCACCTTTTCAAAGTTTCTAGGGTTTTTTTTACTATACCATTATTTTAGTGAGGACTCTTGAAAATATCAAAATAATTTTCAAATAAATTCTATTTTCAAACAGAGGAGATTCAATATGAAGACCCTTAATTCTACTTACTTTGGATCTGGTGGTCCATCTGACAGGGGCTTCATAGAGAGTTTACACAGTGACCTGAATACAAGGAAGGCATCCTTTTGTAAAATGTGGGAAAACTTAGCACCAGGAGTAGGTCCTGAAGAATTTCCAGATTCCTAAAGAAGTTAACATATTTCAGTATTCCATTTTGCATTAGCAGGGTGTGTAACCCACCTCCTAGCAACAAGAAGTTAACATATTATACAAATATAACCAATTCACTATAGCTTTATGGTCTCAAGACTAAACTAAACCAAAACAAAATATTCTGCAGTCCAGTTAAAATGAAGAAACTCATTATCAAAAATTGCCATCTCAATAAAAAGTCATAATTAATTAAAGACTGTAATGAAATTAGGTAGGTCAAGTTTAAATAAGGTAGCTTGGAGTAAATTGCCTTCAGACATTTTCAGTAGATAACTAATTAAAAAAAACCCAACTTAGCATTTTAATAGAATGAGTGGTTACATATCTGTAGTAAGATACATTTGGTAAAATTTCTGTTACAATAATAACCCCTGTTACTAAATTATTGCAATTCTGTATTGTTCCTTATATAAGCAACATGTTTAATCTTCTATTCATATAGCATACATGACTGTAGCTTTATAAGCTTAAAATCTACTACTCCCAAACCTAATTAGTCAGTAGACTTTAACAGCAGATAGCCTCTGTCAGCTGACAGTGCGTACATTCTGGTATCTGATACAACAGAGGAGTGTATTTTCACATCTTTTTTGTCAATCAAAATCAAATCCTCTCAGAGGTGAAACTTTTTATCTGAAATAACTGCAGCAAGGTCATGCTACAGGCTTGATATTTCTATTTATCATTTGAAAAGAGCACAATGAAATTATACAAGTATATCTGTAATTGGCTGTATTCTTCACTATGTATACTGAATGCTAGCTTTGTAGCCTCTCAGGAGTACTTCAAAAAACAGGGAACTGAATCCTCTAATCTTGGAACAGTGTACTCTATGGGACAGCTAAAAATATGCTACGATAAAAAAGGCATCACATGCAAAATTTACTTACAAAAAATTAATTTTAAAAGTGCATTAAAATAGATTATTGCTTAGAACATTACTTAATACTTGAAATTCATCTGAGTAACTTATTTTATGGAACTATATTAAACACTCTCTGCACAAGCGTTGGGCAACACTTAAAATATATTACTTTTTTCAGTATTTCCTAATTTGTAACTGCCAGTACCTGAGTATCGTTGGAAGAGACAGATAATCTGTCATCAGGTAAAGATGGTGTATAAGCAACAGAAATTGGAGTCCCTGGAATTCCATTTGCCTGAATGTTCTCACTGTCACTGCCATCCTCTAATGTTACAATTGTGCCATCACCACCTGCACTTTCAGCAGTCCCTTCCACATCTATCAGAAAAGATGTAAAATTTATAAACAAATGTTACATGAGAATGCAAATTAAAGAGCTTTTAAATCTAACATTTAAATACTAAAACAATCAGAAACAGAGCACCATAACGAGCATGATGTTGCTTAAGGCAGAATTTACTTGACACTATATAACTAAAAAAAAAACCCAAACCAAAAAAACCCCAAATACTCTTACTTCTCACTAAGGAAAATTACAATTCAAAATTACTTATAACTTTACATTGACAGGTTCACCACTCTACCAAGTTTCCAGGAAGTATGGGGGGTGGAAAGTCACTGCTTTGCTATACAATTTCCAAACTGAAAAATGTAGTGCTTACACTGCTGCTACAGAGACAGGCCCATTTGTGAAGTTTACATGGAAACAAAACCGAAAAATAAAATGAATAAGAACTCGTTTTTTAAAAAGAACATTAGTCTCCAACACAGAAAGTGTAAATTATTGTATGAAATTTTGTCCATTTTACTGTTAAATAATGCAGTTCGGGTCAGACAACTGAAACTGTGTTATTTAAATAATTACATTTTATTTAAATGTTCAGAAGCGCTAAAATAATTCTTCATGTCAAGATTCAGACTGCAGTCACTACTGACTAGACAGATATTAATATTATACCTCCAACTACTATGTTCACCATTTCCTGCACAATATTTTCTACAATTTCTTGCGCCTTCTCTTCACACTCATTGCTTTCACCATCATATGTTTCTCCATCAGCTTTAGAAAGATCTTTAAAAAGAAAAACAAACACAAGCAAATACTAATGAGAAACTAGGAAATTAAGGAGATATTTACTTGCATTTAATATTTAAAAATTCAATTACAAATCTATTAATCGGACAATCTATATTTAAAAAGCTGTGTTTGGATGCTTTGAAAAGAGTATTTGCAGAATATAAGCATTCCAGTCTTTAACTCCTAAATGGTAATTAATCCACAGGTCTATGCCAACAAAATACATCAATTTTGTATTTTCACACACATTAAACACTGAAAACTTACTGGCTTTGAGATGTTATTCTCAAAAACTTTTACAATATTACATAGGTGCAAAAACTAATCTTTGCCACAACGCCTACCACAGAGTGTAGGACCAAAGGATACTTGTGATAAAGTTTAACAGTGGTAACAAGGACAACAGGCCTTTTGCATTAGTCAACTTTGAAAATATATGCCTGGCACCAGATTTGGGAGAGGGGAAAAAAAGACAATTCTCAAGCCTTTCTTTTTACAGACCTTTTCCCTCCCTCCATGAAACAGAAATACACACTGATTACTTTCTGCTGCTGTGGCTTGGTCAGCTTCTGTCTGTTCATTTTCAGCACTAGAAATATCAGATCCATTTTCTGCCTCTATATCTTCTTGAAGATTCTTGTCCACATAATTTGTGCTGTGGTCAAGCTCTCTCTCTTGTTCTTTGGACAGCTGATCAATCTGCGTTGGAATATGTCTCAATTGAGGTGACTCAGGCTCATGGTGGCTGACTGGGGACTGCTGTAGATGGTGTTGCTGTCTGTGTCTTTCCTTTTCCATCTGCTTGGCTTCCTGAAGCTACAAAAACATTGCAATCACACAATAATTTCATTATTAAAACAAAATTATGAACTGTATGCATATTGTATACATTTTTTTTTATGAACATGAAATTTCTATTGTCTCTGCTTACACACTGTCTTCATAAAGCTGTAACAGTTTAAGAAAATACATCCTTTGTATTATTATAAATAATTTTAATGTCACAGGATAAACCTTTACAAGAGGGCTGCTTCCTCGCTGTGCACATTACACTTATATCATGTTTTCACTGTGGAAGAGGGAAGACTAAACTACACATAGTATATAGGACCAAGAGTTGTCTACCTGCCCTGTAAAGAAGTTCAGCCAGGATATGTGACAATATACGAGGACTGCACGGAGAAACATCAAGGCAGATTTTTTTCCTTTTTGAAAGCTCTCACAAAAAGAAATACATAGGAGACCTTAAGAGTCTTTTGTTATCCTACAAGCATGTGGTATTAAGGGAAAGACTAAAAAAAAAAAAAAAGTAATAGTAAACTGACTAAACATCCAGGGGAAAGAAAAAACCAAAAAACTAAGGTGAGACCACATCTGGAATATTGTGTCCAGTTCTGGGCCCCACAGTTCAGGAAGGACAGGGAACTGCTTGAGAGAGTCCAGCACAGAGCCACCAAGATGATTAAGGGAGTGGAGCATCTCCCTTATGAGGAAAGGCTGAGGGAGCTGGGGCTCTTTAGCCTGGAGGAGACTGAAGGGAGACCTCATTAATGTTTGTAAATATGTAAAGGGTGAATGTCAGGAGGATGGAGCCAGGCTCTTCTCAGTGATGCTCAACGGTAGGACAAGGGGCAATGGGTGCAAGCTGGAGCATAGGAGGTTCCATGTAAACAAAAGGAAAAACTTTTTCACTGTGAGAGTGACAGGACACTGGACCTTCTGACAACTCATAAAAACAATTTCAGTGACATGTAGGTATCTGTTAGTGACTACTAAATATTAAAATGTTAAAAACTAATTACATGACTGTAAAGGTGTTTTTTTGGGGTTTGTTTTGATCATGGATTACTTCTTTGGTGTTTCCCATCACAATAACACTGAGTCATTTAACTAACACTAATGTATTCCATATACACTCTTATGCAGGTAGTGTGGCATCCCTGGACAGCCTGACATTAGAAACTGAAGTTGAATTCATCCATTAAACACAGAAGACCACTACGAGAAGTTTAAATCCTATACACCACCCCCAACAACACATTTCAGAGTGCAAAACAAAAAAAGAACAAAGTAAGATAACAGATTCTTTTTTTTTCCCCAAAAAAGTACATAAGTTCAGAAAGCCAAAAAGCTTTACTAATAATGACAAAACAAATCCCTCAAGCTGGTTTGCTTTTCAGAGCTATTTTCTATATAATGACACCGAGATACTCACTGCTTGATTTTCCATACGTGCAAAAATGACATTCAGCATTTGTGTTAGAGTAGCCTTGGCTGTAGTTTGATTTATGAGATTTTTGCTTGCTAGATAGATATTGTAACATGTTCTTACAGCCTGTAGCACTGTTCCTTCGTGGATTTCTATGTGTTGAGATGTTACTGCAGTGAGCAAAGCCTAAATAAACAAACACACACATATATGTATTTTCCACTCAAAACTCTTCTTGTCAATCAAACAGTTTGCAAATTAACAAATATCAAAATTGGATTACTTTTAAATTATAACTAAGTACACATCTTGAACTGCAGTTTGAGCTTTACCATGTACTCTTGTAGCCTATCAGAACACCATACATATCAGTTAGTGAGACTGATTTTAATCAACATACGTAGGAAATACATGTTTCATAGCATGTAACAGCAAGAAGTAACCAATGGCATTATCAGACAGATAGTTAATAAAAGTCACCCTAGAATTTTCTAGACTCAAAATGTGAACAACAGGCTACCTGTTAAAATCTGGAAAGCAATCCAAAGGGTCCAAAAGTTGTTTTACAAATAAACGTGAATGTGAAGAACAAAGACTGAGTATGAGATCAGGCAGTTGCAAGTGGGACAACTGCCCTTTCTAAATGCTCCCTTTGGTAGATGCCAGAATGCTGTGGTGTCCTCTCTGTAGAAATTAACTTCTTTCTTTCCATTTGAGATAATATTTGCTCCTCTTCTCTTCACTCTGCCCCCTCTTCCTCACCCCCCGAAAAAAAAATAATGCAAAAAAGTCTCTAAACAATCAGGTAACACAGAAGTAAGGAACACATCATCTTTATGTAAGGTAGAGGCAGGCTGGATTAAAGAGCAGAAACAGAAGCAAATGAAAGCTGAGGATGGGGTGTGAAGACATTGTCAGAGGTCTGTGTTGGAGAGTGGAAGGAAGGGGGAAGAGCTTGGTCCACAATAGAACAAACATGTTTATACTGATCATTGTACTCCAGGAGAAGAAATCAGGGAATTTTATGCATTGAAGACTTTGATAGTTAATGATTTAATGGGATGTTTAAGGAAAGTAAGAAGGAACTGGAAGCACTGGAAAGCTCATGCTTTTGTATCACAGAATCACAGTTAAAAAATAAAGTTGTTTTAAGTGTTGTGTAATTTACTCATCAACCCATGCCTTATTTCCCTTACTGACATTGTCTCTTTACAGACATGGCACCAACAGAGTATCCACTACTCCTTCAAACACTTTAAAAAACACTGTACAGCCTGACAGAAAAAAGAAAATCAAAGACCCACCTCACTGAGCTGCTGCTGAAGAGACATGAACTCGACTCCTAGATAAACAGTCTGCTTAAGGTCCCTTCTTATTCTACCTGTGGTGCCTCAGTTCTCTCATCAGTGGACGTAGGGAGGTACATATATTGACGACTGCGTTTATATTTCTTACTGGAGAGTGTACATCCTTATCTGCACAACCACTGAACACCATCTCACGCTACAATCTACAAAGTCGTACAGCCCACTATAAGTCTTCTTTTATAAAAAAATCAAAAGAAAAAAAATTCCAAAAACACCCAGCCAACTGAAGAAAAGACATTACAGAGGCAGACGAATGGTAGACAATGACTTTGTTAAAGGAACTAAGTTTCCCAGCACTGTTACTGCTCTTTTTGTCCTCACAAAATTCAGTTTACATGTTACTGGCCCTCTAAAAACCAGGAAGTGCTAAGCTGAAATTCATACCACCATACTTAATTCTTACCCGCTGTGCAATGATTAAACACCTCCACAGAAGTTATCAATAGTCTGCTTCTGCTAATGGAAACACCATCCAAGGAGGAGGACACATAAAAGCCGTAACAAAATCACATGCCTTATCTGGATGGAGATCAGTGACATGTGGTGTCCCTCAGGGGTCCATATTGGGACCAGTACTGTTTACTGTCTTCATCAGTGACACAGACAGTGGGATCGAGTGCACCCTCAGCAAATGTGCAAATGACACCAAGCTGAGTGGCGCGATTGACATGACTGAGGGATGGGATGTCATCCAGAGGGACCTCGACAAGCTTGAGAAGTGGGCTCATGTGAACTGCATGAGGTTCAACAAGGCCAAGTGCAAGGTCCTGCACCTGGGTCAGGGCAAACCCTGGTATCAATACAGACCAGGGGATGAAGGCATTGAGAGCAGCCCTGCCGAGAAGGACTTGGGGGTACTGGTGGCTGAAAAGCTGGACGTGAGTTGGCAATGAGTGCTCACAGCCCAGAAAGCCAACTGTATCCTGGGCTGTATCAAAAGAAGTGTGGCCAACAGGTCAAGGCAGGTGATTCTGCCCCTCCACTCTGCTCTGGTGAGACCCCACCTGGAGTACTGTGTCCAGTTCTGGAGTCCTCAGCACAAGAAAGACATGGAGCTGCTGAAGTAAGTCCAGAAGAGGATCACAAAAATGATCAGAGGGATGGAACACCTCTCCTATGAAGAAAGACTGAGAGAGTTGGAGAAGAGAAGGCTCCATGGAGACCTTATTGCAGCCTTTCAGTACTTAAAGGGGGCCTATAAGAAAGATGCAGATAAGACTTTTTAGCACGGCCTGTAGCCATAGGGCAAGGGGTAATGGCTCTAAAGTAAAAAAGAGTAGATTTAGACTAGATATAAGGAAGCTATTTTTTACACTGAGGGTGGTGAAACACTGGAACAGGTTGCCCAGAGAGGTGGTAGAAGCCCCATCCCTGGAAACATTGAAGGTCAGGCTGGACAGTGCTCTGAGCAACCTCATGTAGTTGAAGATGTCCCAGCTCATTGCAGGGGGTTTGGATTAGATGACCTTTAGAAGGTCCCTTCCAACCCAAACCCTTCTATGATTCTTTCTATTATATGATCCAGATCAATAAGTCTGCCACCAAAACCTATTTATACATTTAAACCATTCACCACCTGTCCCTTCCCCTCTCCTCTTACACAAATACCTTCTACACTTCCACTCAGTGTTGTACTCTTCCACCTCTACATTACTGCTAGAAATTCCTGGGGGAGGTGGTGGTTTGTGAGAGTTGCAGGTACTGAGTTAAAACACACTGAACCCCATTAATTAGAGCTGCACATCTCTCACACTCCAAAATTTATCCCCAAAGCTACTCATTATCAATTATGGCTCTGCTGACTTCTCCAAGTCTTCCCTACATGTTTCAGGAGTGAACACGATCACCCTGAAGGCAGGCAACTCCCAGTAATTAGATTCTGCACTCTCTGATCTGCCTGGAAATGCTGCACACCTGTACTCATTTTAGCATTATACTTTTTCAAGTTTTGTGCTTTTATAAAGTCCTGAAAGGTCAAACCAGAAAGCTCCCTTAATCTTTCAGTAATAATTCATAATAGAATTAACCTTGAAGAACTCTGTCTATGCTAGTTTAAAAAAATAAAGTCAGTAACTCTAGACAACAAGCCAAACCAATGGAGCCCAGGAATAAACAGAGAGCTATTTCTTCCCAAAGCACTACTGTTTAGGCCCAATACATTAAGTATTTAAATTAAGTTAACATTTCTTTCACCCAATTCCAAAAGATAATACTGAGACACACACACTTACAATACATCAATTTAAGAATCATCTACAATTTCTCACTTGGAAGTTAAGGTCTCTTGCTTGGGCCCTCTCCAGAAAGCAACAGGAGATCTGGTCACCCAGGACATTGAGAAGGCTGAGGTGCTCCATGACTTTTTTGCCTCAGACTTCACTGGCAAGAGATCGTGCCAAGTCCTAAAAAGCAGAGGAAGGGTCCAGGAGAATGCAAAGCCACCCACTGTAGGAGAAGACCAGGTTTGGGAGCACCTAAGGAACCTGAAGGTGCACAAGTCCATGGGACCTGATGGGATGCATCTGCAGGTCCTGAGGGAACTGGCAGATGAAGTTGCAAAGCCACTATCCATCATATTTGAGAAGTCATGGCAGTCTGGTGAAGTTCCTGCAGACTGGAAAAAGGGAAACAAGGAAGACCCGGGGAACTACAGGCCGGTCAGTCTCACCTCAGTGCCAGGCAAGATCATGGAGCAGATACTCCTAGAAACTATGCTAAGGCACATGGAGAATGAGAAGGTGACTGATGACAACCAACATGGCTTCACCAAGGGCAAGTCATGCCTGACAAACCTGGTGGCCTTTTATGATGGGGTTACAACACTGGTAGATAAGGCTAAAGTAACTGATGTCATCTACCTGGACTTGTGCAAGGCGTTTGACACCGTCCCACATGACATCTTGTCTCTAAATTGGAAACTTGCGGGTTTGATGGATGGCCCACTCGGTGGATAAGGAACTGGCTGGATGCTCTAGCTCTGTCATTCACAAAGTTACTCCTTTCTGTCACCTTCTGTCTCCTTGTTAAATTCGAGCGATTACGAATTTGATAACTGGAACTCCAATTTTAACTTCCATCTCAGTTCAGTAAAGCCCTGTGCGATTTTTCCCCCGAACTTTTAATAACAGGAGACAATGCCTGAAAAGGGTGACAAGGCTACAGAAGGATTCTGTGTTCTTTTGTTTTAATTGCCTGAACAGCCTGAATTTCCTAAGTTTCTTCATGCTTGTTATGACTACTAGAGCTTGGTTCTTTTCACACCACCTGATACGGGGGTGTGGAGGTGAAGAAATGTTTAGACACACAGAGACATACCTCCTAATGTATTAATCCAAATTCACTGAATAACTAAAACTTCCATGTAGACTGAGAAATCGGTCCCTCCAGCAGGCCATCTCCTTGCAGATACCCAACTAGTTCAACTTTGCTACAGAGGTCCTCACAGTCTCCTTTTTGGGTTTCTTTCCTTCTCAGGCACTAAAGACAACAAACCCTAATGGCTACTATACATATTTGCAAACTAATGAGCATTTTTAATTTTAATTTTTTGCTAGTATCTTTCATTTTCCTTCCAATTTAGAGCCATCCTCAGGCTATTAGTCACGTCTCAATGCCATTTCTCTTTCTTTACTATCACAATCTAGCAGAAATACAAGAACAAACATTTCTTCTTTCTTCAGAAGAAACTTCTTTACAGTGAGGGTGACAGAGCACTGGAACAGGCTGCCCAGGGAGGTTGTGGAGTCTCCTTCTCTGGAGACATTCAAAACCTGCCTGGACGCCTTCCTGTGTGATCTCATTTAGGTTCCTGCTCCGGCA